CAGCCAATAAAAGCATAGTTATTCTTTATATGGCGACAGTAGCTCCACTAAAAGATGAAAGCAGACGCAGTTTTTTAGTTTTTATTATTTATTTTATTGTTTTGGGGTCCGGCTATTTTTTTGAGTGGGGTAATAAATAATTTTATTAAGGGTGTATTTTTGGTAAAATTTTAGAAGAATATTTTTCGGTTTTATTGATATAATCGTAATGATGAATTATAAATGGTAAAAGTTAGCGATCATCCTCATCGTGTTTCGTGTTGGTTGGACGTCGTCTCCTTAGGGTGCATGCGGTAATAACCACAACCACCCTGATGGCTTTAAAACAATTATTAAATAATGAATGCATATTAGGAATCGATATTCGCCATCGTGTAATCGCTCGACACGAAAGTCTCTTAACTTTTTTTTTGTGAAGGAAATAGGGGTGTACTTCCCACCCTCTTTCGTAATGCTGTCAAACAGGAGGGTATTTTTTACAACGTTTATTTCCACCCGGCAAAGAAAGTCGCGCGCCCGTGTCGTGTCGTACGTCACCTTAATTCAAATATAACAACCCCATAATAATAAAAATAAAAGCCCAAGTTTAGGGGGAGAGCGCAAGAAGGCAAGTGTTTAAAAAACAGAAAATAAAGAAGGGCGCAAACACGCGCCATGAGGAAAAAGGAAATTATAAAATTAATTTCGTTCATTATGAGGTGCGAGCGTGCGCGGGCGCAAAAATTCGAAAAGTTTCGCGATTTAATTAAATTCGAAGCCTGCGTCTTTGGGTGAACAAACGAATTCGCTAAGGAAAGGAAGCGACGCGATTGCCAGACGTCCTGGAAATTTAATTAACCCCATAACTAAATATTTTTTCTTTGACATTCGAATTTTTTTCGCATCTTCACTTTCTGCTCTTGTTGAGATTAAATTTTAGAAAATCGGCAAAAAGTAAATAAATGAGTCTGCGAAAGCAAAACTCTGGGGTATGCAGAGGTGGAGACGGGAAATTTTTGGGTATGCTTGGAAATTGAAACGCAAACACAGAGGCGACGAAATAAATGCCTGAAAAAAGTAAACGTTTTCTTACAGCTTCAAACCGCGACATGCGGGGTAAAGGAAGCAAGATGAAACTTTTCTTTATCAAATTTGCTTATTCCAATTTAGTGCGGCACGCCGCGCTGCAGGCTATGCTGGCTTTCGGGGTGGCTTAGCATTTTTATGAGATTATTATGGAATTATTGCTGCACCGAGCCGCACATAAATTATAATTACCCAAAGGGGTGTCGTATTAGTTGTAACATTGATGTAACAAACCAAAAATCAAATTTAATTCCAAAATTTTCTATAAATTTATCTATTAACATTAAAAACAAAGAAAAAATTATTTTTAACGGTTTTTTAGAGAATTATTAAATTAAGGGTTGTTTTTTTTTAAAACACTTTGTATAACATTCTGGTCCTCATAGATACGATGGTGGCGGCACAAATAGGTATCCGCCGCTGCTTTCATTCGGCGGTTTTGCGAATTCCCATCGGGGACAGAGGGGGCAAAATTTTCGAGATAATCGCGCAATGCAAGCATACACTCAGCCGCCAGTGGAGAAGGCGGTAGGCAAAAACCCACCCCCACGCACACAATTACATTCATGGGAACATAAATGGTTTTCGTGAACAAGGCACTCATAATAGCATAGAATTCGAAATGTCAGCTCTACAAAGATGGCCGACATTGTTTACAGACGTAATAAATCAATGATAATAAAACAAAAAACTTTTTATTCTTTAAAAATTAAAATTTTTATTTATTTTTGGATAATAAGCTTTCACCCTGCATCTTTGTGTGTCTCTGCACGTGTGCATCATAGATGTTTACGTTAACAACGTGTTGATGCCAACAAAAGACCACGTCGCACTTGGGGTTGAAGAGTAACAGGCAAACTGAGAGGGTATGAGATTGTGCGTTTGTTTGTGTTCTTTGCCGCCCCTTGCTTCAATGTATGCTTTCTATGTGTGTGTGTGCAGGTGGAATGAAACTCGTTAAAATTTTAATTGCTTTTCAGCGAGTTTTTACACAAGCCGCCATTGTGTATTTGAATTTTTGCATTCGCGATGATAACTGGCATTCTTGCGGATGAACGAATGCGTTAATTTTAAAGTTTCCTCTGTCTTCGCTTCCGGCACCCCCTCAGCGCGGGTTTGAATCGTCGGCGAGCGCCGCTGCTCGCGCTTTGTTTTCGTCGGGAAAAAATTAATTAGCAAACAAATTGTATCACAACAAATTTTGAGCAGTGGTGAATTTAAATTGAAAATTACGACATCCGGCCGACCACCACTCAAACCAACCAAAACTTACACAATTGTTGGTAACACCAAGGGAAAAAATATTTACTGAAAGCAGGTTATGATAAGTTTTTATAAAAAGATTAGAAAAATGTGTTCTTAAGATTTTTACAAAAATTTCAAACAAAAATCTCGTTTTTTTCTGTAATTTTTGTTTTTTTGCAAGTTTTTGAAAATTAAAATTACAAAATTAATAAATATCTACAAATAAATCAATTTTTAGCTAGTTTTAGACATGTAAATATTTATTTCGTAATAATATCACTTCCCGAAGATTTTTACAAAAATTTCAAACAAAAATTTTGTTTTTTTCTGTAATTTTTGTTTTTTTTGCAAGCTTTTGTAAATTAAAATTACAATATTAATAAATATCTATAAATAAACAAATTTTAAGCTAGTCTTAGACATGTAAATATTTATTTCGTAATAATATCACTTCCCTAAGATTTTTACAAAAATTTCAAACAAAAATTTTGTTTTTTTCTGTAATTTTTGTTTTTTTGCAAGTTTTTGTAAATTAAAATTACAAAATTAATAAATATCTATAAATAAATCAATTTTACGCTAGTTTTAGACATGTAAATATTTATTTCGTAATAATATCACTTCCGTAAGATTTTTACAAAAATTTCAAACAAAAATTTGGTTTCTTTTCTGTAATTTTTGTTTTTTTCAAATTTTTGTAAATTAAAATTACAAAATTAATAAATATCTATAAATAAATCAATTTTAAGCTAGTTTTAGACATGTAAACATTTATTTCGTAATAATATCACTCCTCTAAGAAGAAAATAAGTGTGAAAAATAAATCGTTGGCTTCCCAACTCGTGTCCCTGATCAAATCGCCAAAAATTTGTATGCAGCGAATAGAATTCCAAGCGGTTGTGCCACCACACAAAAAAAATAAAATAAGAATCTAATTTGAATTTGAAAGTCGCCCGCATATCATCGCGCCCCGGCCCAGTAACCAATTGATCGTGCACGCTCGCCACTTTTGTTTTTCCACACGCTCTTTTTTGATAAGCCGCTTCGCTTCCAGATCCCCGAAAACGGGCAGCGTTGCCACTTGGAAATCGAATGTGGGCGGCGCGGATAGACTCGATCTGTTTGTTATGTAAATAATCAGGCTATCACCCATACTCAAAAAAAAATTGCATACATTTTCCTCAAAAGGGGTTGACACATCCGGAGGTGTCAAAAATTAAACGAAAATTAGTTTTTTTGTTGATGTTTTAATTTCCGTCCATGTGACATAAAATATACAGGCTGTAAAAGTTATTAAATTCGGTATTCTAATCAAAACCAAGAGTAGAATTGCAACAATTAAGTTTAATTGTTGAAAAAATACCAATTTTGGATTGAAAATTTAATCACGACCGAAATTGAATCCACACTAATTAAATTTTATTTTCTACCGTCCATTGGAGTGCGGTACGATTGCGTTGGTAGCACGAGTCCGTAGTTGGCGCGCGCTTCGGATACCTCTTTAGTTATTGCCCTCATTCGGGTGCGCTTTGCATCGTCCGCTGCCGAGTAATTGGTAAATTTGCAAAGTTGGAACTTTAATTGCAATAATGCGAAACGAGCCGAGCGGCGGGCTGGTGCATCGCGTGAAAAATGATCCAGGCGTCGGATTATTCCCACCGATATAAGTCAAGTTGATTATATTCGATTAAGTTTTAATAGCCCGTCGGAATATCCACTAATGATCGACTTATCGACTAATCTGGGAATCATTAACGCTACAACCTAATGGGGAAAGTTTGCGCATGGCGTCGAATTACATAGTTAGTTGAATGGTCAGGGATGCCAAGATTCACGAATTCACGCAAATGAAATGGTCGCCAGTGCTCGCCATTCCGCCGAACTTGAACTACTATTACTTGCAGATAAAGGGGTTAAATTCGTATTTCTTATAATGAGAATTCCCGGCCGGACCTTTGGTCATTGTTTGAATGTTCAAACTTTGGCCCTGAACTCACCTCAAGTTACCAACCAGGAATCACGAACTACTTGTAAACTCTCCAAGTTGTTTCTTTTTAAATTATACCTTAAATCTTAATATTCACACCTTTTCCAGACTTGTAGATTGCTTTTTTTAGCCGAGTTCAGAACCATTGGTTACAAACTGAAGAAATTCAAAATAATTAACATCTCCTTGACACCTCATGACTTTTCTGTAGTTATTACTAGTCTGCCGGTCTGTTTGTTGTAATTATTGTCTAGAAATAAAGATAATTAAACAATTCAAGGACAAAAACAATAAAAATAATGAAAAAAGGTTACCCGTAACATAACCATAATATTTGTGTACGACTGGTTGCCTACAAACCAAAAATTTTCACGCGTTGCAGAAACTTAAAAATTCGCCCACAAAAACCTACGCACCACGTAAACTAAGGCATCGCCGCTTCAAAACGGGGTTGCTAGCGTTCACAGCTCTCTTGCAGTTGCGGATGATTGTATTTGTGTTGAGAGTGTCGTGTGCACACAGCGAAGAACCCTCTGCACGGCGCACAGCCTAACGCTCGACGTTTGTGCTCGTAGCCCCGCGCCTCCCCACCCAGACTTGTTCTGCTTCCACTCGGTATCGAGTGAGCACGGCGCGTTGTGCGCCTGGGCGGCGGGTCACGTGACGCACCGACGCAGTATGGCAGCGGCGGATCTCGGCTCGCGGCACCACACGAATGCCCGCGTTCGCCTCCTCAGTGCGTTGTCGATCGTTCACGGCCGCGAGGGCGTACCGCTCCGAACGTAAACTCGTGTGTTCAACTATCGCAATCCGAAATATTGCCTCAAATCTCACGGAAACTAGTGTTCTACTTCCGGTTTACTCGCCACCAATCATAAACTCAGTGTAGATTCCTGCATTACCATCGTTGGAGGCTGTCGTCGCGTAATTTCGGCACATTCGCCGGTTTTTCTTCTCGCGTGTGCGCGAGAATGGTTTTTGAGGTCAAACGATTAAGAAGAGAGGCGATTGACCCGCGTTACTCTCAAACTGAGTAGTAGACGAGCGTTTACTACGACTACGTCTGGAGAACATTGTCATTAAAACACTACCAGAATCAGAATGTGTGAAGATGTGAAACGAGTGCGCGGTAAACTAATGTGTTGTTAGATGTGACTGATATCATTTCTTCTTTACGCGCCGGAGGAAGGAATTAGAAGAGGATGGCTCTCAAGCATGCGTTCAGTGCCATCGTGGTGCTGACCAGCATCGTCTGTTATCACAACAGTTGCTACTGCGGCTTCGTCTTCGACGATATCAGCGCGATTAAAGATAATCGCGATCTCAGGCCACACACGCCGCTTGCCAACGTGTTCTATAATGATTTTTGGGGTACACCCATGCACAAGGTAAATCCCATTGAAGAACAAGTTAACAAAACTTGCGTGTTTGTGAAGGTCTTAAGCTTGGAAGGGTCTTACTTCTTACTTATTGTTAGATCCAACTTCCCAGTTTGTTCCTTTTCTTACGAGAAGGGTCTTACCGCAACACGTCCGGGTGTAATATATTGCTTCACAACAACAAGTAACAAGTCTCCAAAACAATTTAGAGACGTAATTACCCGTTGTATGTCCGTGGGGATCATTACCTCTCATTTAATTTCACCCCAAACACATTTAAGATGAATTATTGTTTGGTAAAATTAAAATTTCTTCTTTTGACAGTCTGTTATGACATTCAAAGAGAGATAAATGCTGGATTATTTGGTATTTCGTTTAAAACCCATTTCAAAAGGAGGATTAGGTTTTTTTCTACGAAAACATTCCAACAATGCCAAAATGGGTTAAAAGCATGATGTGATGATCCACCGGAATCGAAAGTTTTTTCGGCTTTCACCAAAAACCACTGCGAATTTTAAACAAACAAATTACGCGCAGAGATGGTGAATAAATACGTTCTCTCGTGTGCTACGCGAAACAAACATTGTAAATAAACATGTCCGGTTATGTAACAAGTTGTTGACGCCGCAGGAAGTCCCGCTCGAATGTCTTTTTGAATGCCGAGGAGGAGAACATGCACGAAAACACGAACACATGAAATAAAATCTCGGCGATAAAAGTTTGTTTATGAAAGTTTGCGTATTATTTGGCATTTAAACGATAATTTTGTAAGAGGATTACTTGTTGTGTGTTGTGGGTCATGTTCATGTTCATGTTTGAAGCCTCGATGCACTTGCAGCGCTCAGGCATCAATTCAAACTCAAACAGGTTTTATTTATTCGTGACCATCAGCATAGGTTGTAATAGTAGCGTAGGTCAACTCTGAACTCGACTTCGGTCTCGGCCGGTAAACGATTCTTTCAATAACTAATCATATAATTAATTATTTCCAATCATTTGGTAACGGATGAAATTTTCTCCTGGTTGCGTTTTTTTCCATTGTCGTAAACAATGCGTTGTTTTTTTTTACTAGCGAGGACTTTTCTGATTAGCAAATAAATTGCCCCGTACATTGTTAAAATCTACTCACCTTACAATGGGTAGCCGGAGCTACCGAAATAAAAACCCGCGCCAACAAAGCCGCACGAGCGGACGAAACAAAAATTTGCACGAAATGAGAACCGCGCGGTGTCGCCGGGCGAAAACAATGGGGCATCAAATAAATTCAAGCCTGAATTCGCAATTATTTCGCTGCTGGGTGATGCACGAGGTGCATTCAAGGTGAATGACTGCTTTAATTCTAAATTTAGTTCTGGTTGTCGAGTGGAGTAATGCTTGGAAATAAATTTCCTATGATTGGTTTGTGGTGAGAAAAAATCCGGAGTTTTGAGTTCTGCTTCATTAAGGAACCAATTCCCATGAGATTTTTTATTTGTTTATTTTAATAAAATAGAGTGATGAGAGTGGATGAAGTATTTATTCTAGTGGTGTTACGCCCACACTTTGGAAGTGAACTTCGAACGACGATTATCGATTTCCTCGCCGGGGCCCAGAGAGCGCCCGCCTGCCAGCTCCCGCGTTATAATTCACCGCGACCACGTCGATACAATTTGGCCCGAACTTCGACGGCCGACCGAAAATTCACGCACAAACGCGTAAAAATGTTGTAGCCATTTGTTCATTTGCGATTGGCATTTGTGGTTGCGGTTAGCGTTAATATTCGCAACACAAAGCGACCAAATACCGATAACGAATGGAAAACCGCGACAATCGATGTCTAAAACATACCGAAACCGCGATCCTAGGCGAAAATTAGGCACCGAATTTAATTTGCGCTTTACAACACTCACTATTTTTGTTGTGTTATTGCTGCGTTGCGGAATAATCTCGGTTGTGGTTTTGAAACATCCGACCGAATTTTCATTCCAGAATTGAATTAATTTCGAATTTCCTTTCCGCTTGCCTTTTATAATTTCGGTTCGGAGGTGCGCGCACACTGCAAAGATAATTTCAATGTGTAATCTCTTAATATGCGTAGTGCGTAGCGGCGAAACGTCGACGGTGGCGGCGGCGGTGGCAAGGTCGCACGGTAAGAGACTATCGTTTGTGTGTGGTGCGTTGAGAGTTGGGAGTTTTGTTGAATACGTTTAATTTGATTTCGACCGCGCGTTTTCCTCCCGCCGGGCCGACGAGCGCTAATTGAATTCGACTCGCTTGAATGCTCGCGTCGCCAGTGTGGGTTACTTTCATTTTTATCAAAAAGAATTCGAAATTCATACCGGCCCCCGTCGTATTGTCATGATTAAATTTTTAATTTTTAATTTTCAGGCTTTTATTCCACTGGGATGCATATTTATTTAAAAATAAATTATTTTTTGTACCAAAACAAAATTTTTAGTCTTTAGCGCACAGAAATTTTATTATTATTTATTCTGTTATATAAAAAAGTTTATTTTATTCAATTAGACTAATTGAATATGTAATTTTATGTCTTCGTTCATTTTCTGCAGAGTTAACGGCTGCATACGGCACAAGATAGCGTAAAGTGGACTCATTCGAACGCTTTCATTGTGCTTTATCATCAAGTTAGCTGTGCTAACCCGAGATAATTAAGTTTTTCTAATTAGAATCGAAATAAAACGCATTGTTGCCAGTCTGGGGTCGCTCACACGGGCCAGCCATCAGCACAGCCAGTGTATCTGGCGAACTTATTAGTTTTAATTGCGTCTGGGAAAGTTTTCATTCAGTGGCGGAGCGGAGAAACTGGTCTAACTTCAATTCTGGCTTCGCTTTATATTGTTAAATTGGGAATGGCTCATGCAGCTATGTTTTAAACTTAAAATTATGGTAAATTAATTTAATTATTGAAAACTGATTGCGAAAAAATGATTTTTATGCTATAAATTTTTAATTTATTGAATTTACGTACTAGAATTGATTTTAAATTGTTTTTAATTGATATTAAATTCTTCTTTGTCATCTTGAACCCAATTTCAAGCGAATTTTATTGAATAAGTTGGTATTTTTGAGTAAACTTTTAGATGACGTTTATGATGTTATAATATTACTTCAGTACATCGCCAAGAAACTAATTAAACATAAATTAATTTATCTACCCTCCGAAGTAGTCGCGAAATGCGCCTCCGCCAGACTGTTGGTTAGTTGGCGAGAAATGGTGAATAACGCGCGGCGACGAAACTTAGCACAGCGGATAAACTTGCGCCAAGTCATAATTGAGAATGGAATTGTACATTATGCCTCTCCGGATTAATTAAAAGTATGGATTATGTACGAACCGCCTCGAATACGCTTCCAGTTCTATTACACACAGACTCTATCAATGATCGCCGGCAATCCCAACGCGCCAAACTCCTGCTTCCCGATGTGTGAAACCATGCACACACTTTCCACCACCCCTTTCAATGTACCCACCCTGCTGGTGCAAATTCAACAATTCCAGGTATATTCACAGGTGTGCGCTTGTATTCGAGTACCTGCTGGTCGTATCGACACACTTGGCGGTCGTTGGCGGTAACAGTGTCGAGGGTATAAATCTAAATTTCACCGCAGTCGTACGTAATGCAATCTGCGGTTGTAGCGGCGGCGGCAGCGGCGGGATTGGAACATGAATAATAATGCCGGGCGCAGTAAAAACGCGAAATGCACACGGAAAAAACGCAAAAACAACAAGACGTTTTGCGGGCACAGCCGTATAGTGCAAACGTGTAATTACTCTTTATGGGCAAAAACTGGGATGTGGATTGTGATTTTATGCCAATTTTATTTTATGGTATAATCACTACGATCTAAATTTATATCGTTACAACTTTACATTCGTTCCAACAAAGTCAACAAAAAGTTGTTTTACTTTTACTTGGATTACAGTGTTATTAAAGAGCTTTTAAGGGGTAAAAAATTATTTTAAAAATATTTCACATGTAATAAATGAGTAGAAATCCCTACTAATATTATAAATGCGAAAGTCCTGATGTTTGTTACACTTTCTCGCAAAAACTACTTAACCGATCATCATGAAAATTTGTACACATATTCTTAGTGGTCCCCGATTGGTTATAGGCTACTTTTTATTTAATAAAAAAAATTATTTTTTAAATTAAATAAAGAAATTGTTTAGCCAATAATACCTCTGCATTTGGCTATTTGACTACTTTAACGCCATCTAGCATTCCAGCAATGAAGCTCAAACCTAAGTACTATAGTACCATCACACTGTATTATCACACTGTATTACCGACAGCTACGTCAACATCAAATCCAATTGACTACACTATGGAGACTGTACACTATACTTCCATAGACTATACTTTCAGCCATTTTAAACTTCCCGCCATTCTACTTCATTGTTACTTCTTCTGTGACTACAGACGCGTACGGAAGCAACTTCATTATTTTAGATATTCGCGAGCGAAGCCGTGGGTTGAAGCTAGTTATATATAAATCATAAAAACAAGGCAAATTAAAATTAAAAATAATTAAAGTTGAGTTTCTGAAAAATGTTTACTTTTTCATACGTTTTCATAGTTTTGGTAAGCTTTAAATACAATTTACAAGTAATTTCATAGGTGATGAATTTAAATTTGAGTTCTAGTCTTGTATAACAACTATAACTTCACTTAATGACGTTTCAAACACGAATAAAACCAAAATTACCGCGACTAAAAATGAAAACTTGTTCCGACACGTTTTATACGTTTTTCTTTTGTATGTTAAGATTTATCCTTCCGTCAAAATTGTGTCTCAAATGTCCCCAAATGTTGCAACATTTTTTGGGGCAACAGCTGCGCACGCAGTTAAAGATATAAATATAAGTAATAAGTGTTGTATTTCGCAAGTTTGTAGAACGCGAGCCGCGCGTGGTAGTTTATTGCGTCGTATAATACCCGGGAGTTTTCCGGTTGCCGCTGGCACGAGGAAATAACTACCTTGGGCGAAACTTTAAAGCAAAAGTCACGAGCGACGAATACGAGAAACGACAGCGAAGAAAACAGAAACAACTGCAAGCAGCCGGGGGCGGCGAGGCTTTGGTCATTACATTTTATTGCAATTTATGACTTAAAAAGCGTAATATGCACAATAAATTGAGTGCGCTTTATAACGCCACCGCGTATTTAACTTTTCAAATTACAATCTCCCAACAATACATCCAGCGCTCTCACACAGAAAAAACAGAAAAAAACTTTTGTGTTTTTTTTTTCGGATGAAAATGATGTGTGTTATCAGTTTGGCTATGACATGGTGGTTGGCGTGCTGATGGCCTTTCTACATGATCGATCTTTATCACAAAAATGAGAGGCGAATTAAGCGATGCGTTCATAATGCATATTGCTTCGGCCGGTTATTTGGTTATTTTCACATTTCCTCGCTTATTGGCGCGACGGAATCGAAAAATCATCGAATCACCGCGCTTCGGGCATTCGTTGCCGATTGCATCCTCGTAATTTCACGTCCGTGTAATAACCGTGCGGGCACACGGGAAGCAAAACTTTCGTGACATGACGTATTAATTTCTTGTTAGCCGACGCAAACTCCACGAAATAAATACGGAGTAGAGCGTTAGAGGTATTATCGAGTTCGCGTTGGCATCACGCGATCGCTCGGAATTTATACTCGTGGGCGGGTGAAAACCATCAATTCGTGTACAATAATCGCGATTGGTTTAGTTTTTCAGTTCTAATCAAAAGTGTAACACTTTTTTAGCAATTACTTTTTAAATCGCCATTTTAAGCGCAAATTGTGACTAAAAATTGCAACAAATTTACCAAATCCTAATCTTCATGCATAATTAATTTAATGATGGCGTTTTAATTCGTGTTGCCTGATGAATGGCTGAGCACGAGCGAGTTTGCCACTCCAACCAGGCCTGGTGAGGTTGAGCCGGTGGCGGCACGTCGCGCATAAATGATTCGCATTGTTTGCACGTTGTTTGGAAGGTTTTGCGTCGCTTTATCGTCGCGCTCACGACGCTGCCGCCGACGCCAGCTTTGGTTTTACGATGTTTGGCGTGCGGTGGAGGCGCCAGGCAGCAAGGATGTTGTGTGAGGGTGGTTAGGTGTATCGCGGATTGTTTGGTCGTCGTTTTGCGTTCTTGTGCCGGCTGGTTTATGCACGTCCGTTGTGTGCGCATGTTTGTACGTTCTATATGCGAATATTCTTGCGGGTAATTAAGTATTCTTAAGCGCTCTGCATTCAATTGCGTGCGCCCTGCATCGTGTGTGTTAATTTTCCTCTTGGTGCGGCCTCACCTCATGCTACATTTAACCTAATGTGAAAATTATTTACTTACCTACGTCTATTTGATGATAGCCATTAGCAACGTTCAATTTCTAGCTATATGTTTAAATTATTGTTTTTTTTTAATTGAAATTTTTAATTTTTTACAAAAACTTTTTACGTTTTTTTAATAAATTTCGAGTTTCTATGGATTATTTTACTGTATAAAATTAATTTTAACATCAACGGTTTATTTCTTTATTTATAAATGAAAAAAATTTAATTAAATATATTGTAACTTTTATATAAAAGCTTTTTATAACATTTTTTGATCATTAACTTGTCAGGAATTGCTTTATTACTTGTTGTGTCTCTATTTCGTTGATATATTTGTTCATGATTAAAAATTAATAATGCAAAAATTAATTTGGAACAATGAAATAATTTGCAGCGAAGTTCTTGCTTTGCATGGCACAAAAACAGCGGCAAATTTGTAAATATCTCCCGGACAAGCTTTCGGTGTGATTTAACAAGTAAATATTATAAAGCTGCGCACATCGCACATAATAATGAAGGCAATCCACGCTCGCTCGCTTAGATCTTCTCTTCTTTGCGTTCGGTTTCCCGATTCTCGCACACTCGGGTATCCAAAAAGGTATCGAGGCGTGAACGAGGATACGAGGCAGGGCGCGCGCAAAAAAGCGGCAAAAATAGTACCGGATAACAAGAAAACGAGCCGAGCGAAAGAGCGACTCGCGCGCTCCTCGCACTCTCGTGGGGGCGTCGACAGCGAGGCGATATTCGCATCGTTATCGCCCCGGCATCGGGGTGGCAAAGCGAGCAAGCGCGCGCGAGAAGTATCGAGCGACCGAGCGTAATATTCGCGTTGTTGTGTCGGCGCGCTTCCGCCGCGCGGCGCAATATGAGATACATAAAGGTCGCTTTTATTTACTTTTTAATAACTTGCCGGCGAATGCGAGAAAAACTTACGATATTAAAATGTCTGCATTATCGTGCGCATAAAAATATAAAACCAAAACAAATACGCCAGGTTGTGCGGAACTAGATTGAGATGCAAATTATTTACTTCAAACGCGTTTTTATTACGACATAAAACTAATACGCGCGTTTCAAGAAGTTTCCTTCTGACGTGGTTAAATTTTCAGCTGTTTTCAAACGGCGATAACTTTTTAAATCACAGAAAAACATTTGTTTCAACGTTTTTATTGCAAACTTTAAATTTACATAAAATTTTTGATATAATCTTTAAAATAAGCAAGTTTTACTCATTTAGGTGTTTAATAAAAGTTCATATTTTCAATTAATCTGTAATATCTGGGTGAATTTCAAAGATTTGTTTTTTTTTTGTTTTTTTCTCTTCTATTGATATTTTTACCTCGAAATAATTTTTGTTTAACTTGTTCATTAAGTCAATTAAAGCCTTTTATAACCCGCTAATGGCGCAGGTATTGAATTATTCTCCACGATTAAATAATCCAAAACGCAAACTCTAGCAAAACCCAAACGATGAAAACAAAGAAAGACAATAATTGTATGAAAAAAAATCCAATTCAAATAAAAACACGCACGCGTAAATCCATGAATAAACATCAGCCAACCAAGCAAACAAAGTCATAAAAAGTACGCGAAAATAATAAAACCTCCACCGAATGAAAATTTGACGAGTAGGGCGAAAAAAAGTGCGTGTTATTTTGCGAATACTGCGAAACACGAAATGACTTCCCCAATTATTCCTAATGAATGCACGATACATCAAACTGTGTGAGTCGCTTGTTTCTGCCCAGGTCTGAATACGGTTTACAATTGATTCGTATGTTTAATTGCTCGTTATTTTCGACTTGTTAATGTTTTATTTGGGTTTTTCCCCTCGCGAAACAAGCGAAAATATGCGTTGGATTAATAGAGCTTGTTTGATTTGGTTTATTTTATTGCTAAATGGCAAATGTTAATGATGTTGTTTTTATTTCGGTTGCAGGAACAAAGCCACAAGAGTTATCGACCGCTGTGCGTGCTGACGTTTCGTTGGAATTATTTATTCTGGCAGCTGGAACCCATGGGCTATCATCTTGTCAATATGTTACTGCATTCTGTCGTCTGTTTGATGTATTTTAGGTGAGTACCAATTAATTACATTTATCTCGTAATATAATCTTTTTGACATGTTTGATATGCAATTGCTGCAATTGATGTTGGAATCGGTTTTCAAATAATAATTTATTGTGTGATTTTTAAAAAATATTATAAAGTAGCTAAAGTTATGCAGATTTAAGCATTTAAACAGTTTATTTCACCACTGAGATATTAAGCATATTAAGTATTGTCAAGAAAAAGCTCTAAAAGCTCTAAAAACTCATGGAGACATGAAACAGAAAAGAAAATGAAAATATTCGCTGGCTTTCAGAAAACCACGATGCATATATGCATGTGAAAAACCACGCGTCAAACTTCCTTCCTCGGGCCTTGCCTCATATTTTTTCTCCTCTCCGTTGTTCCCTAGTTTTCAACATATCTGTCTCCTTCGCACGCTACAGACTGGAGAGTATGGTGAGAGGAATATGTGGTTGTCCCAAGAAAGTAAAGTTTTCATCAGCAATTTTCCTCCCGCCCAAGTTGGAAAGTATAATAAAAGTTTTTATTTCTTAGAAATACAACTTCCACATAATACGGCCCCGAACATGCTCGCGCTCCATCGGGTGGAAAGAGGGACGCGTCAAAACGGCGGCGTGTTTTTTCCGCGCCCAAACGCAAACTTTTTGATGCGACTCGCCGGATGCGAATATATGAATGTGTGGCCAAGACAAGACGCCGAGATGGGCGAGTCGAGATTGTAAACAGTCACACGGTGAAATCGAGTCGAAACGCGAAATGAGAAAAATTCTGCCGCGGGGGTGCGGGGAGCGCGTGCATCTAAAACAAGGGAAAAATTTAGCACACACTGAATGCTTCTCTTTGTGGGATAACGTTTGATTCAATAGCCAAAACGAAAGTTTTAATTGAAATTGCCAGTGAAACATTTTCAGAGAATCAAAGTGAATAAAATAAGTGTGTGGAACAACAAAAGGAAATTATTTGACTTGGGAAAGATAATTTTATATAATTTTATTATAGCTATTAAAATATTTTATTAGAAAACAAGAGAATTTGTAATAATAGATTGAGAATTGAAAATCTGTGTGAAAAAATACTTAATTTTTAGTTTGTTTTTCGATATTTTTCGCGTTTTCCTAATTTTTTCCACGGGAAATTCTTGAAATAGTTACCTGCAGCTTGCCCAGCTTCGAATGCGCTTGTTTATGAAACGGTGCGCCACACATTTCTAAATTAATAACGGCCGATGATCGTGCATAAAATATTTTTCTCACTTGACTCTCTCTTGCGTTTTGGTGCATGCACCTAGCCCCAGATCTCCACATCCACAATCTTTGCATTTCCCCGGCGCCTCCACCAACGTTCCGCAATTTACGTATTCCATCCAAGATTTTCGTTCCGCCGCCGAGTAGCAGCCAACGAGAGTAAAAAAGAGCGTTTTATTTCATTTAAATATGCGCACGCTGTACTTGGCACGCCTCGCCGATGGTGGCGGCTGAGGCAAGTGGAACAAAGCAGTCCGGGCGCAGTATGCGGGTGTGCGCGTATCGCATTTTCCCGGTTCCGGGCCGAGGGCTTTGGATGACGCCGCGCGCTCGCTTCTGCAGGCGAAGGCGGCGGACGTTTCTTCATAAACCCGCAAGCATAAACTTTCGCGAAAGCGACGAAGAGAGTTTCGCTTTGCTTTTACGCCCGCCGACGCAAAGCCGGCCGGATTTTTGCTGCTCGTGTTTTTGCGTTTATTCACTTTCGCATACATATTTATATTCACTTTTTGTCGAAATTAAATGTTTATTGAAATATTTACGCGCATTTTTCACACACCGTTGAGATTCGCGATTTGAAGGAATGTTACCACTTTGGAGGCGGCGAATACATGTTTTGCTGTCCTTCAAAGGAATTACAAATGGTAATTGAGCGATAATTCAATGCATTTTTGCTTTTTTTAAACAGAAATTTAAGACAATTACAATTTTAAACGATTTTTTATTTATTAAAAAGAAATTAAAATAATTCTCATGAAAAAATTAATCCACACGCATAAAACATTAACATAAAATATTTATTTTTATTTTTTTTACTAAATTTTAGTAATAAATTGCATCAATCCATATTTCCTTTTTCTATATAGCACCACCAATCATTCCGACACGAGCCTTGACATAACAAATCCTTTCATAAACTTAAAAAATTGCCCGCTGCCTTCGTTCGCATGAAAAACTTAAAATAAAACACGAAAACTTATAATAAAAAAGAATTCTGGGGCGCGTCTAAGGAGAAATATTTGCAAAGTCAAGCGCACGCATTTTTTCCATCACACATAACAATGCGTGTGGAGGTGGTCGGGGTACAAGTCGGGAATCGGACGCTCCCGTGGGAAATTAAGCATGTTGATGTCGAAAATAACGCGCAACTCAAAAAACAAATATTCTGACGACGCGCGCGAGCGATGGGCAAAAAATGAAGTGATTCGGGCGAGAATGCTCACGTTCTGGCCGACCTTTCACTGATTGCCATATGAATATTTACTTGCAACGTTTTTAGCTCTGGCGATATTTTTTAGAATAAAACTATCATGTTTCAGCATTTAATTTTAAAATAGTGTAGGTATGTTTGAATGCAATATTTGGTAAAGGGCAAAGGATAAATCTCGCGTTAAAACTGTTTTGTTTTTAACAAGAATTTTTACATAATTTTATGTCATTTTAGTGTAAAAGTTGATTTTATCAATATTTTTCAATGGTAAATTAAGCGATATTTTCTTACGATTTAAAAAACGCACATATATATATAAAATGTATTTATTTATCTATTTGTTCCAGGATGTGTTCCATGTTTCTCCCGGAGTTATCGTGCTTCGTGACAGCAATGCTGTTCGCAGTTCACCCCATTCACACGGAGGCGGTGAGTAAACAAAACAATCGGCTTATGTGTTTCTTTGCTACATTTTTTACCCGTAGCCTAGTTTTTTTTTGGAAATCAACTCTTTTTTCAACTAGTTTAATTCTTTAACTTAACGAACAGATGTTTAAAACGTGTTTCATAAATTCCATTTTATTTTGTGCAAATAGCTAAATTGCGATTCTAATCGAGTTCATTGATCTCCGACCACGAGTTGTCATTAAAAAATCCTTCACTTGTTCATTCGATGTGCATCTGTATCTGCATCCGCACCTGCTATTATTCAAGTTTAATGAGCCAGAGTAACGTTTTGCAATGAACTGAACAGATGTCAGATGGAAATAGTTCGATTCGATAAAGTCATGACTCATTGCTATTCATAGAGTCAGGAAATGTATACGCGTTTTACAGTAAAACCAGTAGGAATGGAATTTTCAAAAGATATATTTTTAACATCTACATGTCCAAGATATTCTATTGATTTTTAAAATGAAAATAACACTTCCAGAGTTCAATCAATTCACTCAAAGCTGATTGAACCCATTCAGAAACTCAAGAATTTCTTAATTTGACGTTTAATTCCACTTGAATTCAATTTAATTGCAACAGATGTTCATAATTTTTTTCATAAAATTTTCTGAATATTTTATTTATTTGTAATATTTTTGTTTAATTTAATTTCAGATTTTGCATCTGCGTATTTATTGATTTAATTCTAAGCTAATTTATTAAGTACAAACAATAACAGAGCATAGTATTTATTTTTAATTCGCATTCATAATACGTTGATAGTATATTGCAATTAACGTGTTATGTACTATACTCGTATGTTGATTTGTGTGATGATAACTAAACACCGTGTGATGTTTTAGGTCACTGGAGTTGTCGGCAGGGCCGAGACGCTTTCATCTGTCTTTTTCCTCGCTGCGTTTATGCTCTACAGTAAAGCAGCACAAAGTCGAAAAATAACAGGTAATTATGAACTATATTTTGAGCTATCAAGCATTAATATGAAATACTAGCTGTAACCCGCGGTTTCGCTCGCGAATATCTAAAATAATGAAGTTGCTTCCTTACGCGTCTGTAGTCACAGAAGAAGTAACAATGAAGTAGAATGGCGTGAAGTTTAAAATGGCTGAAAGTATAGTCTATGGAAGTATAGTGTACAGTCTCCATAGTGTAGTCAATTGGATTTGATGTTGACGTAGCTGTCGGTAATACAGTGTGATAATACAGTGTGATGGTACTATAGTACTTAGGTTTGAGCTTCATTGCTGGAATGCTAGATGGCGTTAAAGTAGTCAAATAGCCAGATGCAGAGGTATTATTGGCTAAACAATTTCTTTATTTTATTTAAAAATAAATTTTTTTTATTAAATAAAAAGTAGCCTATAACCATTCGGGGACCACTAAGAATATGTGTACAAATTTTCATGATGATCGGTTAAGTAGTTTTTGCGTGAAAGTGTAACAAACATCAGGACTTTCGCATTTATAATATTAGTAGGGATTTACTTACGTAAAATACGTAAATACCGCCCTCAATAACGAAAATTAACTCATAATTATAGCTATATTTATTTAACTAGTTATTTTGATTTTTCCGCGTGAGATTTATTAAATTTAAACAAAAGCACGCAACAGAAAAATGTAAATTAAGAGCAAATATACCTCGCTGAAGCTGTATATTTATATATTTTGCCCGCCTGTTCCGTTCTATGCAATTTTTTGCTACCCTTCATGCACTCGCTCGTCAAAGATGCAAAAAACTACACAGCGAAAAAATGCGGCGCATAATTACAAAACGTGCGTGTTGTATGTGTGTGTGCGCGCACGCTGGTAGCACTCCAAGAAAGGGAATAAATGCGCGCCCAGCCAAACAAGCCAACAATTACGTCGGCGTGTGCCGAAAAGGAAAAGCGCCCATTGTTTACAGCAGAAAAGAGTAGAAGCAGGAGAAAAAAAACCAAACGAGACACAACGCGCGCTGCGCCGGCATGGATGAATGCACGAAAAAAGAAGAAAACTAAATGCCCCGGCCGCTCTTTTAACTTAATTACGCCATCACGTGAAGTGCTTTTATAATTTATTCGAGACACGACAATCAAGCCGCGCGCTACGTGAAAAACCTTTTTTCTTTTACGGTCGAGGCCGTTCGGAGGCCTAATATCGCAACAACACAACTGGGTCAATTCGCTTTCGCCCTCGCACGCATTCTCGCTCTCTTCGGGGAAGTAATTTCTTGCATTAGGCGTGCATTAGTTGGGTGTTTACCAAGCAATCGTTTTCGGACAAAGTTACAGGCGGCTATTTTCGTCTAGTTCCTCCACTGCTTCAGATAGGTCTAATTAAAACTATTAATTGAATCATAACTTATTTATGCGATATTAGGGTTGATGTCGATAACGCGTTGGTGCGTTATGTTACTAGATTGATTGATTGATATTTCTGACGGCTTCCAAACTTTAATTAGCATCTTATCGATCGCCGCTGGCCGGAAAGTGCTCGCGCATTAGCAATTTATGCATCAATGCTAATGAACTCGCATTGAATTTTATTCCACGTGCATAAATATTACCTTTTTCATCGTGGATTTATTAAAATTTTATATATACTACAAAATAAAACAAAAACATTCAATTATTTAGTAATCAATGCAAAATTAAAAAAAAAAGTTTTTATAATTATTTTACGTTTACATATAAAAAAATAAACACCCACGGAGATCATTCACCTCGAAACTGACATTTCTTTCCTCTCGAACCACCCTCATCAATAATTAGCGTTTGGATTCGTGCCGCGCGAGATGCCACCGCTAATGTAACATTTACGCCGTGCATATTTCACCGCAACTAAAATATAAATCGAGCCAATTACAATTACCGGCTTGGTTTTTCGCGGAAGCCTGAACTCGGAATAATTGTGCGGTTCGGCGACGCATAAGTAACCGGCGAGTGTGTGGTCGATATTTACGTAATTACCTCCGACCGGTGATAATTAAATTTTCACACGACGACGTATGTTATCAATAATCCTGATGATGATGATATTTGTTTATTTGTTGCAGGTTGGCGGTATCTGGTGCCGTCGATGTTGTCCATTGCCACCGCGATGCTTTGCAAGGAGCAGGGCATCACTGTCGCCGGCGTGTGCGCCGCCTACGAAATATTCGTTTCACAGAAGGTAAATTTGCGGCCGATTGTTATTATGCTAATAACCGCTAGGGTAATTGTAGTGTGGACGTGTGAAAATTAATTATTCATGTCGAATAATTAATTTCTTTGTTGACCTGCTGAAATATTGATTAGTTTTCTGTTTTTAAATTCGACATCGTAATTGCGGTTTTCTACGAAAATCAAAATCATAATCAACTGTATTTTCATGAGATATACTCGTGCGTGTTAAATTCAAAACGCGTACAAAAAATAATACATTTTTCAATAGTTTTTGGCTGAAATATGAAAATTTTATTTTTTGAAAATTCAATTTACTCATAAATATTTAGTTAAACTATAAATATTGATTTTTAGGCGTAAATAATCATCATTTTAATTTAGGATTTCAATAATTCTCTTTATTATAAAATATTTGATCCGATTTTCATTCATTTTCAATGTTTTTGTTTAAATTCCAGGTCAGATTAACCGAAATAAAATTCATCCTAAAATCACTCCTCTCGTCGAAACCGTCGTACCAACTCCCCTGGTCGTCGACAGCGACGAAGAGATTAAGCGTGTTAGGGTTGACCACAGTGTTGCTGCTGCTGGCGCGTCTGCAAATCATGGGATCGCAGCTGCCGGTCTTCACGCGCTTCGACAATCCTGCGTCGGTTTCGCCGACGCCGACGCGTCAGCTTACCTATCACTATCTTCTCAGCGTCAATCTGTGGTTGCTGCTATTCCCCTGCGACCTCTGCTGTGACTGGACCATGGGTACGGTGCCATTGGTGGAGAGTTTCTTAGACGCTCGCAATCTCTCCACGCTCGGCGCGTATGGATCTCTTGGAATTTTAGCCATCGTTGGTCTCACCACACGGAATCGTCAACAGAGTGCCATCATTTTAATTGTAAGTAAAAATTTTCTATATTTGCGCTTTAAAATAAAGATGGCAGCGTGTTAAACGACCAAAAAGGCCGATAAAAGTCACTAAAAGCATGAAGTTAAGCGAGTTAGCGGCGTGCTATCACGCGCGCAGCGAACTCACTTCTTGCGTTCTCTCGGACAGAGATTTTAATATCAATTCTTCGCGTGCCTGTTCGTCGGGTTTCTCTAGAGTCGAGTTCGGCACGCAGACTTTGCGAACTTTGCGCGCTGAATAATAATATTCGACTGGTGCGCAGCGCGGCGCAGCACTGGGGCAAAGTTGCTTGAGACAGGCGGAAGAGAGATGTGAAATAGAAAGTATCAGAAGAGAATATACGGAGTAGATATCTTCGTTGGCATGGCAACCTTTTCGTGAGGAATATGGAAGATGAGCGACTACGGTTCATGTTTCGACTTTTTCATCTTTAATATAGCCGAAAAACCGAGTCAGTCTATTTTTGGCGATGAAACATCTTTCATTAATAATTTCATGCTTTTTGCAGATCTAAATTTAGATTTTATAAACGAATATTTTAATTTTTAATTTTTTGTATCTGTTTCTGCTGATGATATGTTTGTCCGGTTCAATTAATAGATAATTGAATCAATTTTCAATTTATGTTATATTTATTTTTGCACAGCGAAAATTAGTTGCAATATTAATTAAATTCAAAAAGTTCATTCTGCTCGGCGCCTCCACTTAATGTAACCCATTGTGTAAAATTTATTGTTCTGTAATTATGGCATACTTTACACCACTTTAATCAATTTTTAATTAACGTTGATTTTTATGCAATTAAAATAAATTTCAATATGTTGGAAAGAAGCGCGATGCCCGGCGCCTCCACGTAATTATTTCGATTGAAGAGAATTTGCAGTTTTATTGCATTTATTTATGTTTAGTGAAATATTCAATATGCGCACGTTTATGCATGAGTGAATACCGTGTCGCGTTGAATAATATTTAAGCTTGGGTTGCGCTCTGACCCGAATGCGTTTGGCGCTCGACCACCCGTGTCTCCAAAGTCCGATAGCGTCCGGGGCGCGCAATTCAGTTAGAACATGTTTCGCATTTAATCTGGCGCTGGAATCAGTTGTACGTCCGTCAAGCTTCGCCCCGAAACACGACGCGCAGCTCGAAATTCCAGTCTTAAAATTATTCACAACTACCAGCAATAAATTCACCTCCTGAAACTTGTATGAAATGTTACATAATTACTTTTCAACGTTTATGAAACAAAGGAGTAAAATTCGATCGAAATTACACGATAATGCCAGCTGCGAGCGATTTTCCATCTTGCAAGTTTATAAAATTACAGCTTTGCTCCCTTAGACGCAGGTAGACATGAGCAAAATACACCTAATTAGAAACCCATTTAAATCCAGATGCGTGTCGACGCGAGAAAGTCTAAGCAGGAGCGAGAACACTAACTTTGCCACGCCGTCTTCTGTTCGGGTTGTGCGCGCCTGGCGAACAAGCAGGTACATTAAAAATCAATTTGAGAACGGCATCATTCATTTCGTGCATTACGCTTCTATTAAAATATCATTTTCCTCACGATCGTCCGCGGCGGACGGCGGCGTAATGTGCGATTTAATGGCAGCCGGAAGAGGAAACGCCACATTGACATCCGCAATTGGGGATGATTCATGCTGGATAATTTTACAAGTTTTGCAATAATACCCGAAAATCTTTTCTACATTAGCGAAACAGTCCAAAGTAAATGATTCAATTCAATATTTTTTGTTTTTTCTGTGTATTCTTGTACTTTGTGCGGAAAAAGAGTTTAAATTTATATCAAATATTATTTTCCTCCGTGCTAACATTCTCCAGCATAAGGAGAAAATATAAAAAAACGCTTTTGGCAATTGTTTGGGTTTAATTCTGGATTTTTTGACGAAACTTGTTATCCCTCTAAATTACAAGTTTTATTGCGACAAAATGACCTTACCAGATAGAAAATATAATACTTTATAAAGCATTACTTGTCCCTTTTTAGTTTCCCAACATTTAAATATCAAATGAAGAAATATAAAAGACTATTAAGTCCTAAAAGGTTTTTCCAATGGCAAACGATTATTATTATTGCCTCAAAGCGGCGTCCCTATCCGTATTTTCACCCTTTGCACCCATCCGTGGCAATTTTAAATAAATAAATGAATCCACCGCGATCCCCAGAACAAAAGCAGGCAAAGCGCGCGCGAAAAGCAAAAAGGATAAGTGAAGATATGCGAATGTGCGCCGAATGTGAAAGCTCGCGCGGATGCAATGTGTCGAATGTAAAAGGGTAATAAAGCGTTAAAAAATAGCGCGCCCTCGCACCAGTAATAGCCGGCGAATGTCTAGAATAAGTGCGCGAGAATGAAGCCGGCTGAAACGATAAGTGCGGTGAGAGTTACCGAGAGAATTCCACACCTGCTCGACTATTTATTGTGATATGTTATAATAGCCGCAAAAATGTAAATTACTTCGGGAGATAGAATATAGTTTTATGCATTTGCAAGGGGTTGAAAAGTTTAAAAGGTTGAAAAGAGTCATGACGGGAAAATCAACCCTAATGTGCGCATTAGACAGCAGGAACATTCATAAAATGCACGTGATAATATCGCTTGAATCGAATTTCTATAAGAGCCGCACTTCACATTATTTTCCTCCTTTGGGGAAACATTTTTCCCAGCGTGATTATTATCGAATAAGAAAATATTCACATATCATACAAATCCATCTTTCGTTATTACATCCGCAGACTGAACTCGTCTTGGAACATATTACGAACACCCCCTACACATCTACGAATATTCAGCGTGTAGAAGTTCGAATATCTTGCGTGCAGCGTTTTTTCCGCGCGTCGGCCTTTTTATGTAGTGAGTAGTAGCGCGAGGGAAGTGAAATAAAAGTTTTATTGCATGAGAGTGCAATAAAATTTTCCCATTTGGGTGCAGATTGCCTTCCGGCGTGTGTAGGCCTAGTCGAGGATGCGAAGGAGCAGCGCGAGGACAAGAATAGTGCCAGCGGGTTATTGCGGGCGTTTCGGCACCCAAACGAAATCCCTTGTTCTAAAGCGTATCGCTAAAGAGGAAAAAATAAAATAAAACGAATTCGGAGTGCGCACTTGTGACTCGCGTCGAATTTATTGCGTTAAACAAATTTACTTAAAACACTTGTCGCATGAAAATAAAACCAAACAAATAAAAACAAGCGCATGAATGCATTAAATTGCCAGCGGAACATGTTAGAATATCGGATACATTCATTACAAGTGCAAAATGAAACTTTTATTGCGTTGAATGTATATTAGATTTAATTTAAATATTTCATGTGAAGGTAAAAGCTAGAAACAACATAAATGGCACAGTAAGTGAGGTAAAGTAGTGAATTCCGTCTTACATTTTGAATTTTCCTTTTGACGTACTTTGTGAAAGAAATCCAGTTTACACATTTTAAAAATTACATATTTTTCGTTTGTATTTTTATAGTAATTTGACAATTTAACGAAAAATATTATCTTTTGAGATTTATACTCTCCCTAATAGTGATAATTTGCCCGGAGATAAAATATCACGTCGAAATTCGATTAAATTATAGCGTGGACGTGTGTCATGTTTGCGTTGGACATTTAAGATACTCCTACATCTCCCCGTACTTTTTCTCTGATGTGTGTCGGCGCGTCCATCCTTAAGGATGCTTAACGATGGTCATAGTAATAGCTGACGGAGAAAACACTGACATAAGCGCGATGGTTGTCTGCCCGCAAAAGGCCAAAGCACTATAATGCCACTACAGTGGGAACACCAAATGGGAACATAAAAAGTTTCGTCTTCCGCGTAACAACTCGCCGCCGCCGCCACAGCCGTATGCGAGAAAGAAATATGATGATGTTTTTAGCTTTCCTAGGGCTGCTGCTTCGAAAATATATTTCTCCAGCGCAGTGCGGTCGCCGCGGCGAAAAAATACGGAAAGAAGTGTGTAGGGACAAAAAACTCAGAGAGAATGAGCGAAAACTAAAGGGGATATAAATTTCAGCGACGGTGTTCTCTTTTGTTTACGAATAGTATTTTCTTGTGAGAGATAGACATGGAATTTATTTAAATTCTACGCTGGTGACATTTAAAGATCAAGTCTAATTAGGTGCGAATTGATATAATAGCTACACTAAAGTAATGACATTTAGTAAATTACCTAATAAAACGTTTTGTTCTTTCCAGAGCTTGGCATTATTAATTCTGCCATTCCTGCCTGCGTCGAACTTATTCTTCCCGGTGGGTTTCGTCGTCGCTGAACGCATCCTCTACATGCCTTCCATGGGTTTCTGTCTTTTGGTTGGTTATGGTTGGACACTTCTACGCAGACATGGAAAACGCCTCGCATGGACATGCTTCGCCGTTCTGCTGCTCTCCCATGGTACTAAAACTTACCTACGGAATTGGGACTGGGAGACGGAGTATTCTATCTTCATGTCGGGTCTGCGAGTGAATCAGAAAAACGCCAAGTTGTTCAATAATGTCGGGCACGCATTAGAAGGTCAAACGCGTTATGATGAAGCACTTAAGTTTTTCCAGACTGCGGTGAACGTACAGCAAGACGACATTGGTGCACATATTAACGTTGGTAGGACGTACAATCATCTGAAGATGTTTAAGGAAGCCGAGGAAGCGTATTTGAAGGCGAAGTCACTGCTTCCAAAGGCGAAACCCGGGGAGTCGTACCAGGCGAGAATCGCACCCAATCATTTAAATGTTTTCCTGAATCTAGCGAATTTAATATCGAAGAATGTTACAAGGTTGGAAGAAGCGGATATGTTGTATAGACAGGCCATCAGTATGCGTGCTGATTATACACAGGCATACATCAATCGAGGGGATATTTTGATCAAGTTAAATCGCACCAAGGAGGCTCAGGAGGTTTATGAGCGGGCGTTGCTCTACGACAGCAATAATCCCGATATCTACTATAATGTGAGTATGAACGCCGGCCGACTCTCTTTATGTCTTGATGTCGTGATGTCTTTTCGACGTGGCTTTGAGTGGTTCGAAATGGCTGCTTTTACGCTCACTAAAGAGATATTCGCCGCCCGGTGCTTGCAGAAACCTAGCCGTTAAGATAACACGTTTTAGTGCTTGTTTGGTATGCTGATATTTTTGTTTTTATTATGGCAATAATCATTTTTAGCCGGTAAACTCAGTTTTACTCTTTAGTTGTTTATTTTATTTGGTCAAATTAGAACATCAGGAACGATTTAATCAATAACAAGAGTTCAAAGCGTTTTATTTTGTGTTTCCAGTTGATACTTTTATTAAAATGTGATAATATCATATTGTTTCTGCTTTGAAATCGTTTTCGGACATTTTTTTGATGTAAATTTACATTTTTGTGTTTATCAGACGTCTTGTCTGTCTCCTTGACTGATTTAATAAATTCCAGGCACGGTCGTGACGATTTTTTATTCTGTTTCGGTATTATTATGCATAAAACCGCGAGTTTTTTCTACTTCGCTTGGAGCGGGAGCGCGGCAGACACAAATGGCACAAATGAACATGACAAATGACGCGCGATGACAAAAAACTGTGTGCGAGTGGTAAACGCAGACCGCGCCACCAACTTTGTTCATTTATTTAGAGCGTTGATAAAAAACATTCCGAGTATGAAAGAATTGATTGGGAATATTTGTTTTGGAATAATATTATTATTATTATTATTAATCCTGAAAATAGTAGCAAAAATACTCGAAATTTTAATTAAAAGCACATTTCCGATTATATTAAATTTCGCAAATCAAATTTACTCGTGTCACTCATACGCGAAATGATAAATATTATTTCTCGCTGTTGCAGCTGGGCGTCGTGTTTTTGGAGCAGGGCAAAGCATCACAGGCACTCGCCTATCTCGACAAAGCGTTGGAGTTCGATCCGGAGCACGAACAAGCGCTGCTCAACTCGGCCATTCTGCTGCAGGAACTCGGTCGCGCCGAATTGCGGAAAATCGCCCGCGAGCGGCTGCTCAAGCTTTTAGCGAAAGACGAACGCAACGAGCGCGTACACTTCAATCTTGGGATGCTCGCGATGGACGATAAGAACATTGAAGAAGCGGAACACTGGTTCAGACGCGCTGTTCATCTCAAGAGCGACTTTCGAAGCGCGCTCTTTAATCTCGCTCTGCTGATGGCCGATGACCATCGACCGCTTGAGGCTGCGCCGTTTCTAAATCAACTCGTCAAGTATCATCCCGATCACATCAAGGGCTTGATTTTATTAGGAGATATCTATATTAATAGCATTAAAGATTTGGATGCTGCGGAAAATGTAAGTTTTGCAGACTTGATTAATGATATATTATTAATATTATCTGCTTGTGTTTAGTGTTATAGAAGAATCCTAGAACTTGATCCTGAAAACATTCAAGGATTGCACAATCTCTGTGTGGTTCACGTTGAACGTGGCAAACTCCTGCAAGCTCAGACTTGTCTTGAAAAATGTCACCAACTAGCGCCGGCTGAAGATTACGTCTTGCGACATCTGCAAATCGTCCAAAACCGCATTGCAAAAATGAAACTTCCGCAGGACGGTCTGCTGACTGAAGAAGAAATTAACGACGAAGAACAATCCAAGGTAGTTTCGAATAAAAGCAAAGAAACCGAGCGTAAAACTGAACCCGTTGTAAGCGGGGACTCTGAAGAACAACGTTACAGCAGTCGTGTGGTAAACACTGAACCTCTATTCGTAAAAAATGTCAACAACATTGACTACCCTTACGTGGACGATGAGGAAGAAGATGAGGTACTTGCTTTTCACGAGGCGGAAGTGACGCATCGGAGTAATCAGAGCGGCAGCAGCTTTAACAAAGAGACGATTACAAGGCGGGCAAGCACGACGACGACGCACAGATACAGAGCGTCGTCGACTATAGGTGCGGACGGGGATGACCCTTCTTCAGGCATGTCGTAGAAGGGAATGAATAGTTAATTCCCGCGATCTCAACTGGGCTTTAATTTTTTAATGTTTAATAACGGAGTGAAAAGAAGCGGAGCTTTTAAATCAAGTTGTGAGTGCGAAAACTTTGAAAGCGTAACGTTTTAACAAAAATACGTGTTTTAAACATGAGGTGAATTCTCCCTAACTTAACTTGATCTGATGACTTGATTGCAACTAATCGAAGTATATTTCTATTATCTGGGGGAGGACTTTTATACGCGCCATTAGATGTAGTGTACATTCTGTGATATTCAGAATTATATGTGAAGTAATCATCAAAAGAAGATAAACAAACATTCATAATTGCTTATACATATTTTCTAAACAAACAAAGGTCTATGTTTTTATGTTAAAAATAAACAATGCAATTCGTATGCGTACAAATTGACGACTCGCTTCAGTGTGTTTTATTTGAAATTTAGCAATTTTGCAAAAATATTTGTTAGATAAACGTGTTTCACATCTAAATAACACAACAAACTATTAATACCTTTCCGATATTGTTGTTACGCTTTTCTTGCCTACGCAAAGCAAATTAATAATGTGCGGATGTACAGGAAACGTTCGTTTAGCCGACTTCCGCTCGACTTTCCGTTGCTCGTGGTATATTTTATTCATTTGTGGTACACGCCCGCCGCCTTCGACATTGCAGTTTTGTTTCGCACAAAAATCGGCGTGTTCTTCTTGCTTATTCTCTAAACTAGTCGCTCGAGAAATGAAAAATATATTGCGACAACACGCCGCGCACATAAATCACGATTGTCTCGACTTCTTCGAAATGAACAAAAAAGCAGCACGGCAGAAAAGAAAATCGCGACAAGAAAAAAACGAGAAATTGCTGGTTGCGTGCATGACCAAACGCAAAACAGAGCAAATTAATAAATTATTCACCGGGTTTTCTTTTCGCTTTGTGTGTTTACCGGTTACGTCGTTACACGGCCTGTTCGTTTAAGGCTATTGTTCCTTCAAAGATGGAAAGCACCAAGTTGATTAAGTTATTTTTTGTAAAGAATTTCAAAGCTGTCTTTTACACGACATGTAAGAATAGCGCAATTATATATTAATTTGGCGTATTGTGGGCATGGGCACACCTAAGATTAGGTTGTTGATATTATCAGGTCGCGACATTGTCCCAAATAAATTATTTTTTTCTTTTTCTCCTTCGCAAAAAGAGAATAAAACTTTCCGTTTCAAATTTCCACGTCTTTGTATTATCTTGACATAAAATTTAGACAATAAATTTCTTTATTATTGCATAACTTGTGCGAAAATGTATAAAAATGTCCAGAAATAGATTTATGTCGGATTTATCAGCAAAACTTGTGTAAAATATCAATGCGATGCCAAAATTATATTCAGCTGTTTATTGAAACTGAACAAGATCAACAACATACGAAAACCACTAAATATTATGAACAATTTGTAAAAATGATTACTTGTATAAAGAGGTGCCTTGGAAAAACAAAAATTAAATTAAATGAAACACGCGTAAAATCACGATTATACAAACACACGTTCGTATGGAAAACAGAAACATTGCAAACTAGTTGAAAGTCGTTGGAATACTTCTTGAAAAACTCAACAGCGTTCGTTTTTCGCCTTCGGATAAATACTTTTAAAGTAAATTTTAAAGTTTGAAACTTTTCCCAAATAAAAATACGACATACCTACTTGGTTTCTTTGTACGTACTTAAAAGAGAGCAAAAAATGTTAAGAGAAACCTTTGAAGCAAATTATCGTACGCAAAGTTCAAGAACTTGAAATGAAAAAAAAGCAAAAAAGAAACACAGAAAGAAAAAAAACTAAATAATGACTAATTAATATTTAAGGGATAGGAAACACTGAATGAATGAATATTTTTCTATGTTGTCAAACTGTTCATATATAAATATATTATAAAACAAATAAATATATGAATTATAGACCTATAATATTGATATAATTAAGCATAGACAAAGGTATAGGTGTAAAAACGATATATAAGAGGAAAAACACGACAAAACCATGTGAAAGTACTTAAAAGACAAAAACCATAACATAACAGATATATAAATGTTTTTGTTAAGAAACCAATTGTTTTAAACTTCGAATTTTGTATTTAGCGTTTCATTTTCGATTGGTTAACAATGTAAAATACATTTTTACTGTCGGTGAGAGCGGAAATGATAAGGGACTGAAAAATACTGTAATGTACATAATGACACGTGAAATTTCAGAGCGAAATTGAACGCTCTATAAATTATTTTCTTTTTATAAAAAACGTGAACACTTAATCGTAAACGTACTCTGCCCATGATTGTGTGTAGAAGTGACCCGATTATAAACCAAAACTTGAATGTTAATTAATGTTACTTACATATATATTTAATAATAAATGACAAGATTCAAACCAGTAAGTTTATACTAGTAAAAAATTTACCTTTTCCTTCATTTAAATAAAAATATGTCTAAAAAATAACACCTTTGGTCTTGCTGCTTCCTTTTTTTACTGGTTGTACTCAATAATAATTCATTTAATTTCTGATTTAGTTTAAATGAACATTTATTATTTATGTATTTAATTATCGCCATCTACCGGCCGTCTGCGGAACAGCGGCTTTTCTTCGAACTACATAAACCGTGTACATAGCCGAATGAATAATAAATAGATTCTAACCTCGACATTTCGGCAAAGTGTTCTAAATAGTATTAATTTTAAATGGCATCAAAAGTACGTAGAAAATTACAAATATATTCAATTACAGCCAGAAATAATACTTAATAACCTGTTTGTATAGTTATTGAAGACCCTAGGAGCATACAGGCGCCACACTGCATTTGACAAAGGTATTGCCACCAGGTTGCCAGAGGCCTACAGGAAATTCTACAAAGAATGGAAATTAGATGAGCCTGCAGCAGTGCATTTTATACCTGAAGAAGGCAAATGGAAGCGGGATGAAGTCACTAATGAAGTGTAAGTTGCTAAATTCACTTTTAATATAAAATTGACAATTATGATCTGATTAGATATCCAATCCAAAATATCCCTCTGCCACTGAGATTCCCAGATGAGTATGATAATCAACTTTGGGGTGGTGAGGCTGTTGTGCAGGGTTTTCAACACCGCTCAAGAAACTCACGCCGAGTGCCGCATTTTTGGGTGCCACAATTGCACAGATCAGTGGTATACAGTGAGGTTCTCAACAAGCACATGTCAGTTATAATGACTGACAGAGCTCTTCAATTGATCAATGCAAATTATGGATTTGATCATTATTTACTAAAGGTAAAGTAGATGGTAAAGTTTTATGTAATTTGTTATTTTAAAAGTTGATTTACAGACTCCAGCTTGTGATTTAAAGGCATTACTGCCACTAAAACTAAAGAGGAAGATTTTACAAGAGTTGCAGAATGGGTGCCCTGCTTATAATGATGATAAACAAAAGCAGAATGATGTTCTTGATAGATATAAACAATATTTATCAGCTGTAAGTGTTAAGTACATGAAAATCTCATACCTATCTTTATTTGCTTTGCATTTAGTACACACCTGAGGAAATAGATTGGTACGGTTACTCCTTGAGGGACGCCTGCACAAGACTTCAAGTACAACTCGACGCTGAAAACCAACCAGTTGCCTTGAAACAAGTTTATCGAGCAAAACTCATTGAGGAACTAAAACAAGCTCAACTTTCCGCCAAAGACGCAGAAGTGATGGCCAGCGAAACAGCATCATCTAATACCTGGATGGAAAAAATGAATCCTTTCAGTAAAAAACGTGAAACATAGTCGTTCTATTAATTTTGAGTGTTAGAATAAAAATTACTGACAATTATTATCAGTGGTTAGCATATCCAATTCTATAATTTGTCTATTTTAAATTATGAGAATAGACAGTTTTAGTTTTGGTTAGTGTGGTATTCTGTAGAGGGGTTGGTGTCGCCTTTTTCAAAATCTAAGTTGGCAGCACTGAATTTAACGTCAACGCAATTTTTGCACGCCAGTGTGAATTCGTCTGTCGTGGAGAGCTCGTTGCTCGTTGTTTTATTTATAACTTTGCGTTCATACAATTGAAATATCGCTGTTTGTACTTAGTTTTCCTTTAAACTAAAGTATTGGCGCATAGCCAATTTATCCGTTTTTATATATTCACGCCCATCTCACGTGGGTGATATTTATTAAAGATTCGCTGAAACCGGCAATTTCGCGCGCCTGATTTTGCGATAAGTAACTCTTTGATCCGCAAAGTGGGTTCAATTTTAGTAGCCAGGGCTTAATTTAAACATTAACTAGCTGTTAATGGATGATCTGAATATCTGAGAACCTTGTTTGAATGTTATTACACGAAATTTGAATGTTTTTGCACGTTTTGTTTGATTTGTTTCTTTTTTTGTTTGTTTTAGGGCTTAACCAGACCGCAAGGCAGTGCCGGAATAGTCGCAGCACGTTAAAATTAAAGGGTATTCGGGTTTTTCTTACGCCATTTTGTTCTGCGTAGATTTTGTGCAAACAAGTAAACTTTCTGTTACTTGCGTTTGGCGGTTTGAATTAAATGCTTGCTTGTCGTCGGTTTCATAAAATGACGGGTTTGGAAAATACGCTCAATTACAGATTTCTACAAAAGATTGGCTAATTCTATCCTCAACAGATGGCGCTAGTAATTTTAAATCGGTTTCACTTTTCTCTTTCATTTGGTACCACTGCACTGATAGATGGCGCTGCATGTTTTCGGTAATTTTTTGTTTGGGATTGGACGTTTCACAATGTCCGGTAGTTTTTTGTGCGTTGGTATTTGCGCAAAGCTTTCATTGGACTAAAGTTCATTTCTCGTTGAGTGATTGTAGATTGAAACTATCAGAAAATGTACCTTATTTTACGCTCTTTCATGAGCGCGTGCGAAGTGGCGAAAATTTATTTTTATTTTTTACCGAATACGTAATCTGCCTGTTAAATTATATATATACTTATTTAAATTTGAACGTGTTTGAATTTCATGGTGTTGTTGAGTTAAACATGTTTTGTCTTGAGGGCATCGTCCTTTTTTTTCATGCAATTTTTAAAAAAATATATGTGATTATATGACAAATATATACTTATATTTACCATTTATGCAGTATATAATGTTTATTTATTACAATTTTGATGAATATTTGCATTATAATTACAAAATTTGATTCATTTACTTTGATTAAGTATATCCTTGCGACGTCTATATTTGAAGTTTCGGTTGTGGCAAAATTTGCTTTCATTTGTTTTAGCTAGGGTATTTTTGTACGCGCGCACGACGATTTGATGGCGAGCGCACGGACGCGAGAAGCCCGCTTAATGCGTGACCTTGCACGGCACATATGCAATCGCTCACTTGCCTCGCCTATGCGCTGTAAACGTTTTTGATACTATGTATTTTTCCGGTGAATTTCAAGAAGGTAATACCGGGCCGAACGGCGATGCATATTTTAAGCTAAAGTATTCCTGCGCGTAAAAAGTCGACCTGCACGGTTGTGATGCCGGCGCGCATCTCTTACACTTTCTGCAACGAAGTAATAATGCTCGCGGCGGTAGTGTTTCTGTTGTGATTCGGTATATCGCGTTTATATTTCATTAGATTTAGAGTGTTAATTGTCGTGTTTGATCACTCGCTAAATATTTTTTTCGCGTTTGTAATCTTCGAATTCAATATTTTGTGTGGCGCACATTGTTTTGGCGTGTATTCGTGATCGGTTTGCCGTCCGGACGCCGACCCGGTCTTATCGTGTGATTGTAAATAATATTGTCGTTTAATTATGGTCTTGTGCGGGAACCTGCGTTTTGTCTTAAGGAGAACTCGTCAGATCAGTAATTGTACTGGTAGAATACTCATTTAAAATATTGATGCGAAACTAATGTGGTTTTCTTCTTTTATTTCCGGTATTTGCGCTCTGCATTTGGTTTCCGGTGCTCGATATACGGTAAATGCGGTGCCTCTCATTCTTAGTATCTGTTTTCCTACAATTAGAAAATTGATACCTTAAACTTATTGTTGCGGAAATTTCTTTTAAGCATTCCGCCGAAAATTTGAAAAGGGAAATTCAATTTTTTTATTGCCGATGTTCAATAAGACTCAAATCATAAATCATAATTTCATGATTTAAATTTTAGTTCACTAGCATGAAGTAAAAATCATAAAATAGAATTATATTCGTTTTGAAGACAAATCTATTATCAGCGTTTGTGTATAAACAACTTTCTTATCGCATTCGCCGTGCGAGATGCTACGGGTAAGATTCTCGTCGCGGTGTCGCATGCAGCACATTTCAGTTTAGTTCTTATTGCAATAAGAACGTGTCTATTGCAATTCGCACACAAGGTCGCGTGCTATCGACGCGCCGCCGGCTTTTAGCACATCTATTGCTTTCTTGTCATAATCTGTCGCGTTGTTGCTTGCACGGTTGGCGGCCGGTTCGTGCCGGTCTTTGGATTGGTCAGACCTATTTTACGCGACTCATGTTGTTTGTCGCATCTACTTTCCAAATTTGCATTATATTCGATTCTCAATCGACTATAGTAATATTATTTACTGTTTGCGCGTATATAGTCCATAGAAGGCCGGTTAAGTGCATCGCCCACATGTTGATTTGATATTCATCATGTGGATGACCACATCGATGCTGGTGTAGGAACTTTTTAGTAAACAGCCCAGATTGTTTGTTTTTCTCCACTGTGAATTTATAATATTACTAAATCGTATGAATTATTTTTGTTTTAATTTATGCTTTCTCTTTTTTATTTATAAGGAAATTTGCCGTTCCTTGGAGTCCATGGGTCTTGCATTTGGTAAGTTTATCATTAAATTATATTTTCGTTTTAATTTCTGAGTCCTCCATTAGTTTGTATTTACGTTGTTTTGATTTATCACGTTCACGGCGTGTTGCAAATACAATAGATAGTCGCGTACCGGTTGATACATCACAAAACAAGTTTTAGTTTAGTTTAGTTTTTTTTTTGTGAAGATTCTATATCTTCGGAAAATTCTTTATAAGATAAGGTATTCAAATTGGGAAAGTATGTGAGGTCGAATAATGCATAAACAATTAGCTAAGGACAAGGTTTATTATTTTATTTTTAGGCGAATTTCGAAATTGGTTGTTTTATTTACTGTATAATAATTCATAGATGGGACTTGCATAAAACTAGAAATTGTATTTATCAACATTTTTTTTTTGTCGCGTTGCCATCTGCTCATATCATATACAGCATATTTTAGTTTTAGTTTTGATGGTAAAACCCTCGGAACAGAATTATTTTTAATTTTTACCTGATAGAGGAATTTTTCCAATCTTTCATATTCTTTGATCTGTTGTTCGCTTGCGCTTTTAATTTTAAAGAAGGGGCAGCGGTAGAAGTGAAGGAAGAGCTTGAATTCAAGGCACCGTACAAAGAACAGCGGTAGAAGTGACTCGTGTTCAGGGCACCGTACGTAGATGAACGTATAGCTGACTCCATTTGCCATTTTTATTATTTCATCTCTTAGATTTTCAATTTATCTAAGCTTATCTTATAGAGAAGTTTCTGTAGATTATGAGATTGAAAATCCTTTTGTTTCTATTAAGTTAATTTGATAGTTTATATTATTATTTATTTTAGTATTACGATGTGTACAGTCATAAATGTATCACTCCTGCACTGAAATAGAAATAAGCAATATTTTACTGTTCACACATGTTTCTGTTAAGTGAGCCTTCGTTGTTGTACATAAAAAATACTACGATAAACTACGAAAAACACCCCCAAACTTCCGCAATATTTCGCGCATTTTTAGTGTTTTGCAATGGAAATTGCAGTTATCTAGTTTAACTTATAGAGAATTTGATGTAGATTGCCTATCTACAATCCGTTCCTCTCTATCTCCTTAAGTATCAGTATTCGTTTGTGTATAAACACGTTTTCCTGTCGCATTTATATCATATTTTACACTTCGCGCAGAAGTTTTATTGCATGTTTTGCCTCTGATTTATTTTATCACTACTTGCACGCAATGTTCTAACTATCGTTCTCTTCTCTGTTTTAGCAATTACCTTCGAGTTCCGATGTCCGAGTCACGGGCTAAATAAGAATGCGAATTTCATTCGCTTCGTCGTTCGACTCCCGATTTAAAATAAAATAAATATTGACACCCCTTAGCAGTAGAAAAACTTCATGCAACAAAAAAAAGTTTTATTTTGTTGCCCTGTGTTATCAACGTTTGTGTATAAACAACTTTCTTATCGCGTTCGCCGTGCGAGATGCTACGGGTAAGATTCTGGCCGCGCTGTCGCATGCAGCACATTTTAGTTTAGTTCTTATTGCATTAAGTACGAGTACGTGTCTATTGAATTCGCGGACAAGGTCGCGTGTGATCGACGCGCCGCCGGATTTGCGCATCTATTGCTTTCTTATCATAAACTGTCGCGTTGTTGCTTGCACAGTTTGCAGTCAGTTTCGTGCCGGTTCCTGGTTGGTCCAGGCGTATTTTTACACGACTCGTGTTGTTTGTCCGGACATCTACTTGCCAAATTCGCATTATATTCGATCATCAATTGACTATAGTAATTTTATTTACGGTTTGCGCGTATATAGTCCATAGATGCCGGTTAAGTGCATCGCCCACATGTTGATTTGATATTCATCATGAGGATGACCCATCGCGCTGGTGTAAGGAACTTTTAAGTAAACAGCGCAGATTGTTTGTTTTTCTCCGCTGTGTGATTATAATATTACTAAATCGTATGAATTATTTTTGTTTTAAATTATGTTTTCTCATTTTATTTATAGTATTTGCCGATCCTTGGAGTCCATGAGTTTTGCATTGGTAAGTTTATCATTAAATTATATTTTTCGTTTTAATTTCTGCGTCCTCCATTAGTTTGTATTTACGTTGTTTTGATTTATCGTGTTCCACAGCGTGTTGCAAATACATTAGATACCCGGCTGATACATCTCAAAACAAGTTTTAGTTTAGCTTAGTTTTTTTTTTATTGAAGATTCTATATCTTCGGAAAATTCTTAATAAGATAAGTTATTCAAATTGGGAAAATAGGAGAGGTCGAGAATAATTCATAAACAATTAGCTAAGGACAGTTTAATTGAGTTTCATCTCACAGAAAGGTTTTTTATATTCATTTTTAGGAGAATTTTAGAAATTGGTTTATTTTTCTTTACTGTATAATTCATAGATGGGACTAGCATAAACCAGAAATTGCTTATTTATCAACATTTTTTGTATCGCGTTGCCATCTGCTCATATCATATGCAGCATATTTTTGTTTAGTTTTGATGGCAAACATGGAACAGAATTATTTCTAATTTTTACCTGATAGAGAATTTTCCAATCTTTCATATTCTTTGATCTGTTGTTCGCTTGCACTTTTAGTTTAAAAAAGGGCAGCGGTAGAAGTGACTCGTATTCAGGGCACCGTACGAGGGTAGCGGTAGAAGTGACTCGTGTTCAGGGCACCGTACGTAGATGAATGTATAGCTGAGTCCCATTTACCTATTTTTATTATTTCATCTTTTTGATTTTCAATTTAACTAGCTTATCTTATAGAGAATTTTCTGTCGTTATTAAGTAAATCATTTATACAATTATTTATTTATATTTTAAAAGGTGCAGGATTACAATTATAACATTGTAACACTAAAATGCAGATAAATATAACTTTACTGATATTTAAACATTTTTCATCTAGTGTAAAGTACGCTTTACAAACCACGAATGCTTTAACTAAGCCTTGGCTGGTTGACACAATGAAACCTAACATATAATATCGTGATATAATACATAAAACATAAATATATCAAAGTTTACTTGTGTTTTTATTATAACAACAAATATAATTATATAATTATTTATTTCATTAAAGTGTGTACAGTTATAAATGTATCACTCCTGCACTGAAATAGAAATAAGCAATATTTTACTGTTCACATATGCTTGTGTTAAGTGAGCCTTCGTTGTTGTACATAAAAAATACTACGACAAACTACCAAAAACACCCCCAAACTTCAGCAATATATCGCGTATTTTTAGTGTTTTGCGATGGTAATTGCAATTAACTAGTTTAACCTATAGAGAATTTGATGTAGATTACCTATCTACAATCCGTTCCTCTCTATCTCCTTTAGTACGAGTACTTTTAGTATGTTGCGTCGTATCAGTATTCGTTTGTGTATAAACACGTTTTCGTGTCGCATTTATATCATATTTTACACTTCGCGCAGAAGTTTTATTGCATGTTTAGTCTCTGCTTTATTTTATCATTACTTGCTCGCAATGTTCTAACTATCGTTCTCTTCTCTGTTTTAGCAATTGCCTTCGAGTTCCGAGTTCCTTCGAGTCACGAGCTAAATTAGAATGCGAATTTCATTCGCTTCGTCGTTCGACTCCCGATTTAAAATAAAATAAATATTGACACCCCTTCCCACATTTTCCCTTAACAATGTCATTTATTTCACAGATTTTATCATCTTCAACAATAGTCCTGAGTGTTACATCGAGTGAAATACTGAACAGCCCAGATTGTTTGTTTTCTCCGCTGTGTGATTATAATATTACTAAATCGTATGAATTATTTTGTTTTAAATTATGTTTTTTCTTTTATTTATAGTATTTGCCGTTCCTTGGAGTCCATGAGTCTTGCATTGGTAAGTTTATCATTAAATTATATTTTTCGTTTTAATTTCTGCGTCCTCCATTAGTTTGTATTTACGTTGTTTTGATTTATCGCGTTCCACAGCGTGTTGCAAATACATTAGATAGACGCGTACTCGGTTGGTACATCTCAAAACAAGTTTTAGTTTAGCTTAGTTTTTTTTTATTGAAAATTCTATATCTTCGGAAAATTCTTTATAAGATAAGGTATTCAAATTGGGAAAGTAGGTGAGGTCGAGAATAATTCATAAACAATTAGCTAAGGACAATTTAATTGAGTTTCACTTCACAGAAAGGTTTTTTACTTTCATTTTTAGGAGAATTTTAGAAATTGGTTTGTTTTTATTTACTATATAATTCATAGATGGGACTAGCATAAACCAGAAATTGCTTATTTATCAACATTTTTTGTGCCATCTCCTCATATCCTATGCAGCATATTTTTGTTTAGTTTTGATGGCAAATGCCCCACGGAACAAAATTATTTTTAATTTTTACCTAATAGAGAATTTTCCAATCTTTTATATTCTTTGATCTGTTGTTCGCTTGTGCTTTTAATTTAAAAAAGGGCAGCGGTAGAAGTGACTCGTATTCAGGGCACCGTACGAGGGTAGCGGTAGAAGTGACTCGTGTTCAGGGCACCGTACGTAGATGAACGTATAGCTGACTCCCATTTGCCCATTTTTATTATTTCATCTTTTAGATTTTCAATTTAACTAGCTTATCTTATAGAGAAGTTTCTGTAGATTATGAGATTAAAATCCTTTTGTTTCTATTAAGTTAATTTGATAGTTTATATTATTATTTATTTTAGTATTACGATGTGTACAGTCATAAATTTAACACTTCTGCACTGAAATAGAAATAAGCAATATTTTACTGTTCACATATGTTTGTGTTAAGTGAGCCTTCGTTGTTGTACATAAAAAATACTACGATAAACTACGAAAAACACCCCAAAATTTCCGCAATATTTCGCTCATTTTAGTGTGTTGCGATGGAAATTGCAATTAACTAGTTTAACTTATAGAGAATTTGATGTAGATTGCCAATCTACAATCCGTTCCTCTCTATCTCCTTTAGTATCAGTATTCGTTTGTGTATAAACACGTTTTCCTGTCGCATTTATATCATATTTTACACTTCGCGCAGAAGTTTTATTGCATGTTTTGCCTCTGATTTATTTTATCACTACTTGCACGCAATGTTCTAACTATCGTTCTTTTCTCTGTTTTAGCAATTACCTTCGAGTTCCGATGTCCGAGTCACGGGCTAAATAAGAATGCGAATTTCATTCGCTTCGTCGTTCGACTCCCGATTTAAAATAAAATAAATATTGACACCCCTTCCCGCATTTCCCTTTAACAATGTCATTTATTTCACAGATATTATCATCTTCAACAATAGTCCTGAGTGTTGCATTGAGTGAAATACTGGTATGAGGTATGTACCTAAGTGTTTGTTTTGTACTTATCTCCACTTGCTGGTAATATGTACGTCTTTTTAATCATTGAACGCGAGCTGGGCGTCACACAAACTCGAGCAGGGTGTGCAGAGTTGTAGAATTAAATTCTCCGTCGGGTTTTATTTGTTAGAGGTAGAAGTGACTCGATTTAGAGCACCTTACGAGGCTAGCGGTAAAAGTGACTCGTGTTCAAAGCACCGTATCAACACGGCGAAAATTTGCAAGACCTTTTTTATGAAATGTTTGTATTTTTTTGTGTTTGCGCGCGATCTAGGCGGCTCACTAACTTCAACACGGCGTCTAGAGATGCGGAATTAGATTCTCCGTCGGGTTGTATTTGTTTGTTGCAGGAATTCGACCTGCAACCCGCGAAAATTTGCATAAAGGGTGATTTACTCACCGTTGTTCGGTTTTAATTTTTCGGGTTTGCAC